TATTTCAATATTTAAATAAAACTAAAAAATTAAACTATTAAAAATTAGATTATTATTATTTTTTAATTTATTTGAAAGTAAAACTGGAATATTTATTAAAATGTTAGAAGGTGTTTCCGAAGATGTATTCCCAAATATCTGTTGAAGAAAAAGATTGAACTGGATGAATATCGAAAATGTTTTGAGATAGCTTCCACCATTTTTTTAAGGTGATTTTTGTTGCTTATATATGTGTGTGTGTGTGTGTGTATTGCTTGTCTAAAATTATCTTAGCATTATTAATAAATTATAAAAAAATTATCAAACAAGTATTTTTACTTTAATTATATCAAACCCTCATAAATAATATGTAACATTTATTCATAAATGAGTATGATGGTCGACAGGCTGTGCAGCCTCCAGCCCCAAAGGAAACCCTCCAGCCACAAAAGAACTCAGCCTCCAGCCCTGCGTTGCATGATTTTTCCAGATTGTATCCTTATTGAATTTATCTGGCATATTCTCCCTCTTCCTTGTCTATCTATCAAATTCTAGGTTGATACGACACCGTATCACTTTGCTGGACATCCTCCTTCAATCGGGTCATCTGCTGTTGTATTTGGAGCTCCAACTTCAGGTGTGAAAACCTCTTGAGCGGCTGTCGGGTTCCAATTGTTGGCTTCAATCGGGTCTGGAAGTTCTCTCTCCAGATTGGACTGGTTTGGATTGGACCGTACTGCCGCTGAGCTTTTGTATTAGATTGATGCTTGGACCATGCTGTGTTTTGGGCTTCATTGAAATTATGTTGAAGTGGGCTGGTCTTAGTTGGTATTCGGATCTCATCTGAGGCTGAAGGCTGCGTCGAAATTGGACTTGGATTCTGAAGATTGGACTGAAGCTTCTCTCATTTGGGGACTTCAGATCAGCAGATTTGGGCTTCTGATTTTGGGTTGTAGGCTTTATCTTGGAAAAGTGGGCTGCTTGTCTGCTTCAGTTGCTGCAATTTGGCTTTGGGCCTGGGAATCTATGTGGCGTATTGGGTTTCCTTTGAAACAGCCTTTCAAAGCTCTGCATGGTCTGTTACCTGAACTTCTGCTGTCAAGCTTCTACGCTAATCTGATTATGAGCTTTGGATTGGGACTCGGGCTCTGTTTTGAGAGCATACTACGAGCTTGAGCAGACCCAGTTTGGCTTGTTTCGGCTTGAACTAGAGCTGTGTCACTGAAGGCCATTTGGGCTTAAGAGCTGCAGGTCTGTGCAGTACTGGTGCGCTTTGATTCTGGTTAGACAACAGATTTGCTTTGACAGTAGGTTGGCTATGTGGGTTTCAGATGGATCCAACATTGGGCTTTAAAATGGGCCTTAAGTTCCCGAGTTCTGATAGGCTGTAGCATGAACTACAATAATCTGAACTGCAAAGTTGGTCTGTGATTTGGCTTTTGAACTCTGCATTTGGGAATTGGATCAGATTTAGGCTCAATTGAATGGTTGAAGGTTACATTATTGGGCTTTGATAAAGTTCTGAGCATGTGATCCGATTTTGGACAGCAGGACTAATGGGTTTGAGATTTGGGGCTGCTGAACTTTTGGCCAAGGAGTTTATGCTACACAACTGTTCTGGTGAACTTCTGTAAGCTGGGCATATTTAAGCTGCAGATTGCCGTTTCTTAAAGTGAGCCTTTTCTGGTATTAGCTTGATGAAATTGGAATGTCCAGATGCTCTGTCGAGTTGAAGCTGTTTCTGGACTACCTCTGAAGTGGATGCAATCTTTGACTTAAAGCATGTGAACTTGTGGGTTCTAACAGCACTAGTAGGTTTGAGTAGGGAGATGGGCCTGCTACTTTGGAAGTTAGGAAAACCTGTTGACTGTGGAACTGGATGTTGCACTTGAACTTGACAGCATGTCTCTGAGGCTTATGTTGCTTCCTGGAGAAATTTGAATGGATCAGAGCTCTTGGATTTTGAACTCACGGACTGCAATTGGGTGAGCATTGGTTCAGGTTCTGGATTTCTTAAGCTGTTGTTTCAAATCTGCAATTTTCTGGGTTCTGTTTCCTCAATTTTGACTACTTGCTGGCAGAATTAGATTGAGGTTAAAACATAAAAGTCGTAGAGCTTTTTCTCAACATTCCAGATCTTCTTGAATCATCCCAATCAGAGTTTTGTATCTCAAGTTACAAATATTTTGCAAACTGCCGTTGCTCAAAATCTACAGAATTGTTCTGAACTGTTGCGGCTGTTTTCTTGATTTTTGATATTTTCTGAGCTAAATTAGAGTTCAGTAGAAACATGAAAGTTTTAGATTTTTTTTTTTTTTTAATCTTTACAAGACATCTTGGATCATCTAAATCCGGGTTGTCAAGCTCCAGATATGATTTTTTTCTCTAAAACTGCAGTAAGTATGAAAATTTTCAGAACTGTTAAACATTTGGTCTTTCATTGCTGCTACTTTTGTTCTGTTTGCCAGCTTCTGATTTTGGGCTGCTGTAGACTGGTTCTGGGTGCTCGATTAGGCTGTAACAGTGGAACCCCTTTTCTGTCAAATGGACCTCGACAGCTTCTGTTTCTTAGTTGACTCTATCATGGACTTTGTATGTTTTGAACATGGACGGCAAGCTATTTGCTTGCTGTTCTGTTTACTGGTGATGGTTCAAGCTGCTTTGAAGCTGAAGTTCTGACAGAAGATGTCTGTGGGCATGGTTTATTTGAGCTTGAGGACTGGACATACCTGCTGGAGTGGTTGCAACATGTTTTTTTGAACTGCAGGTTTTAGGAAGCTTTTGGGAGGATTGAAGTTCACACTTGCCCAGAGGCTTTGCAGACTAGAACTGTGACAACATTTACTACATTACTTCAGGTCATAGTGTGAGCTTTTAATTTGAACCTGGATAGCTAGGGAAGCAGGTTGAAGTTCTGTAGCTGGTGTTTGGACAACTTGAACGGGATGGCTTTAGGCTGGAGACTTGCAGATGTTTGGGTTCAAAGGGGTAGCTTTTGGCTATAGAGGTGGGCATGATGCGTGGGCTTTATGTCCAGAGTCAAGATCTGAATCTTGGACTGGCTGCACTGAAATACTCGATAAGCTGATAGAAAACACATGAAAGATTTTCAACTAGACAATTGATTTCAAACCAGCCCGATCACTTAAATAAAAACTGGAAGTAATCCTAAACTCAATTTACTCGATGCCTTGAAAATGCGTAAATTAATAAAAAAAATTGCAATTTAAATTATATTTTTCTCAATACTAATAGAAAATGTTTGATAGATGCTCTATAAAACCACTATAAATATATGAATAAAATATGATTTTTCAGCTACCAGCAAGCATTAGATATCAAAGACAAGAAAAATTCAACATATAAAATAAAAAGATAATATTTGAATAGGAAAACCCTAGAGGCAAAGAAGAGGCCTGTATTACAAATGGGAAAATGCGCAGAGTATTTTTTTTTTTTTTAACAGAAGACAATACAATTTTTATTGTGCAGTCATGTAAAAGAATTTTACACTTCAATTAAAATATTTATAAGAATTATTTAATATTTAATTTCTAAATCTCTTTTATTTCACACTTTGGCATACATTCAATATATCCAAAAGATAGACACACGTATAAATTAATAGACATTTTGTTTCAACTCCAAGGATGTGTAAATAGCTGCCTCATCTAGCCTCTACCTCCACTGTTGTCATTTCATTAATGCTAGTATTGCTTTTACCGAATTGATCACGATGATTTCCATCATTATTCCTTTCTGTGTAAAAGCCTGGTTGCTTGGGCTGAGATAACTTTAGAGTTTTGATAGTTAACATTAAAAGTATTGTAGACATGTTTGGCCTGTCTTCTGGGCTTTTTTGCACACACAAGAGGCCAACTTGTATACACCTTAGTAACTCTAGTATTGGTGTTGAACCCTCTCCACGTGGATCTAGTAGCTCCAAGGCCTTCCCTTCAGCCCAAAGTTTCCATGCCTAATATGGGTTAATGCAAAGTTTATTACAAATCAATTATTGCAGGGGAAACTGAAGAAAATACAAAAGCAAAGGATTGATTTAATAGAACAAGAAAAATAAAAAACAGAGTTCATTTTATAAAAATATTATCAGTAGAGAAGGGAAAATGTGACTGTAGAATTGCAACTACCTCATAACTAGATCAGATGAATGGCAAAAAATATCAATAGTGATCTTAAGTTCAATCATACGTCCCATGGTGTAATACTCTCCATACAAAAATTTACGATTTTATGTTGTTTACTATAATTGCGGGACCAAATTTGAAATGCTTTTACAATTTTTCTTTATAAATGGAAACTAGATTTTTTTTCCTAGACTCTGATTGATTATGTTTATGTTTACATATGTGAAAATTGTATATAATAATATATGTGTTAACTTTTAAAATAATAGATAATCAAAGAATTGTTCTCGATAAGATTTTGGAAGTTGCAAGTTTATTGATTATTTAAAAGAAAACAAGAACCAAATGCTAACTTTTTCTACTTTGAAAAAAAATGAGAAATATCTTTTAATAAACGTATTCTTTGCTTATTCTGTATGGGAATAAAAATTGAAAAAAGAAATTAAACAAGTATAAATAAGGAAAGAATAAGAAATAAACAAGTCTAAAAGTTCATCAAACTTACATGACCAAGAAGATTAAGATCATGTTCAGGATGTTGGAACAATCTATTCCTTTGACCTGTCAATATCTCTAAAATTATTACTCCAAAGCTGAACACATCCAATTTTGTCGAAAACACACCATCAATAACATACTCTGGTGACATGTAACTACTGAACACAATTGCCAAAAAGTTACAATTAGTTAAATTAGGAAATAAATAAGTCAACATGTATAACATAACATTACAAATTCATACAAAAATTTATGATCCATCAATGTTGGAAAAGATGAAAGAAGAGTCAAGAGAAATATTATTTAAAATATTTCATTTGTAAGTATTCTTTAACTGAACCTTTAATTTTTTAGAGAAAAAAGGTTTTTGGTTACGTACTAAGTTCCAACCACCCTTCTTGTTATAGTTGATGATTGATCTCCTCCAATAATTCTAGCAAGGCCAAAATCTGATATTTTAGGATTCATCTTAGAATCCAGTAAAATATTGCTAGTCTTAAGATCTCTATGGATAACTCTTAACTGTGAATCTTGGTGGAGGTAAAGAAGTCCCCGAGCAATTCCTATAACAATATCTAGACGTCTTCTCCATGTGAGCAATTTATGTTTGTTGTCCTCCAAGCCTGATACAAACAACATGGCAATAAGTATTTAAAAAAAATTTTAGTTATATTTTGTCCTAAAACATATTTATATTAACAAAAATTTCTTTCTGTACAAGTTTGTATGAATTTGCAAAATAAGATATATGAGAAGGTACAAACCAAATATAAATAAGTCTAAGCTTCCATTGGGCATGTACTCATAAACCAACATTCTTTCTTCTTCGTGGATGCAATATCCTAAAAGCCGAACTAAATTGCGATGTTGAAGTTTAGCTATCAACACAACTTCATTTTTGAATTCATCAACACCTTGTCTAGAGTTAATTGATAATCTCTTCACAGCTATCTCTTTTGCGATTGATAAGTAACCCTGTATATTCAATGATAAATGTAAGAAAGATTCAAGGTCCTCCAATACTTTTTTGCAATATAGTGCTTTTTTGCAATATGAAGAGTTTATGTTGTATATAGATCCAAAAGTAATAAAAGAAAACAATCAAAGATGAAAACAAAAAAATTCCTTTACATTCTCTGTTTCCCCCAAATTTCTTTTTGATACAATGGAATAGGAAAGTTTTTTCTAGTTCCTTCTCTTTTCCTTAGAAAATTAAAACCAAAGTATAATAGTAAAGCCAATTTTTAAAGTTTATGTCAAATTAATATGTTAGAAGAAAAAAGAAATTCCTAATTCTCGTTGCTCTGTATATAACATAACATAGATAGATTGTTTGGTCACTACTTTGGAGAAGACTTGATTATGGGTGAATATCAGATTGGGGAAGATTAATGTGATATTAATATTTATATTATTTAAGCAGTTTAAATAGTACAAGTTTGAAAAATTATTACAAATCATGTGGGAAACCTTACTAAAATCGGTAAAATAAGCATATTTTCATTGTTTTAATTTTTTGAAAGACAACCAAATATATTTATCCGAAATTAAAAAATCTAAAAATAAAAGCCATTTTTAGAAAATAGAAATAGGAAAGAAAAACAAAAAAAAATTCCTTAAACCAGACACGACCTAATACATTTTGCAATATGAAGATTTTATGTTGTATATGGATCTAAAATTAATAAAAGAATACAATCAAAATTGACAAGAAATTTCTTGACACTATTTTTTTCCCACATCTCTTTTTATTCAATAAAGTAGGAAACTTTTTTCTACTTTCTTTTCTTTTTCTTCAAAAATTTAAAAACCAAAATATGATATTAGCCCACAATGGAAAAAAAAATTACCTTATAAACTGGCCCAAAACCACCTTCTCCAATTTTATTTTCTCTAGAAAAATTATTAGTAGCACATACAATTGTTGCCAAGTCAAAAATGGGCAATTGAAGGTTGTGTTCCTCTTCACTAACTTGTAGCATATTCAATCCGACTTCTGTACATAGAATGGAAGGTAACTTGTGAATTAATAAAGTTATAATTATGAATAGTCCACTGATTATTCAAATAATGCAAGTAAAACCTACCAAAAAAAAAAAGAAATTGTTAAAAATGGGCAAATGCAAATGACAATCCATTGAGTCATTCCTATTTTGAAAACAAATTTTATAAACAAAACCAAAGATGCAGTCTGACAAAACAGTGTAGTTGGATAGCTACCAATTTTAACTCAGTAATTTGATATTGGAAAATAAAAGAAAAACTGCTGGATAAAATTAGAAAACCCAGAGAAGAAAAAACAAACTTCATACCTCTTCTTCTCTTAATCACAAACCAGACCACTATGAGAACAATCGAAAGCAACGTTGCAACAACAGACATCACCAGGATAGTCACCTTCTTTCTAATAGAATTAGAATTCTGTGTCTTTTTTTCTGTCAAAAACAAACAATGGCTAATTTAATTCAGCGAATTGAATATTGAAATTAGAAACAATTTAAAAGGGTTAAGAATTAATTTGGCAGAACTCCCCAGAGCACTTCAAGTTCGAACTTTTTGCCCAAATTCAGTTTTGAGATAGTTCTTCTACTTAATTTCAAAGTATAAACTAAATTAATTGAAATAATTAAATTAAATCCAACTTACCTAATTCAACCGCATCGACTCGTACATACAAGTTCCCACCCCAATCTTGGTCCATCACTACATCCATTAACTTCCCATACCACATGATGCACTTGCCTCCATTTCCGCCAGCGTAAGCGTTGCAAGAACAGTTACCCAAACACGCCCACTGACACTCTGATAAGCTCAGACCCGTTTGAACCCGGGCCTTGGACGAATCCGGCATCTTCATATTTGAAACTTTCACGAAACCCTCCCCGTTCTTGCACATGGACAACCCGAGCCTTCTCTTCACACAGCCGCCCAATTTGGGTTCGTCGCCCAATTTGGGTTCGTATCCAGGAAGGCACGAGCATTCGAAGTTTTGCCCATTATGCGGGAGACAGAGGCCATTGGCCCCACAATGGCCATACTCGCATTGCTCACCTGGAAAGCTACGAAACCAAACCCATTTATTGCTGCCCTCGACCCATGTCGCCAGTTCTATGTGGCCTGACGGATCCAGGAAAATTCTAGACACAATTGATGGATTAATCAAGTTGTACTCACAAACGACTTCCTCATCATTGTCAACAAGGGTGATGTTGAATTTGGACTCGGATATCAGGTCGGTTTTGCCGCTCCACTGGTACTCAATCCACGGCGAGGACCGCCACAACCGGGTGGATCCCCTATACAGAACTAGTTGTGTCGATCCGACCGGCTCAACCCGGTAAGAGTATTCCCCTGTAGCCGGGTCGTCCCCGGATTTCCAAGACGTCAAAAACCGGTTCAGACGGGTCCGACGGTCCAGCCCAAGCTTCATTGCAGGCAACAAAGTGTCCGTGGGATGGTCAAAACTCTGCCACGTTATAACACTTGGGGAATCTCCCCGGCTAAACAACACCAAGTTTCCGGAATCCAGGAGCCAGCGGCGGAGCTGGTTCCCGCAGGGGCGGAAACGTTGGTCCGCCATAGGGGGGTGCTCTGGTTGCTCCTGTGGACGGCGAGGTTCCCGTCTTCTCCGATTAAGAAAACTCCGCCGGTTCCGTTGATGGGTCTGTCTCTGTTTGCGACCCACACAACGGTCATCTCTGAGATCTTGTTGTACCATATTCCCACGTAGCGGAGGCTCGATTTTCCAGGACTAAAGAAACCGAGCACAAAGCTCTGGCCGTCTGAGATTAGATGCTCTCCATCTTTTAAAGGTCGGGACGGGGTTATCGTGCCGACGGAAATGCAGGACTCGAAGAGGAGTAATAGAAGAAGCATGAAGACGCATTTTTCGGGGTTCATCATTTTGTTTTGGGAGTCTTCCTCCTACGGCGTTGTTGGTGATAGAAAATGAGGGCGTCACGGAAGAAATTAATTTTTCAGGTATATCAAACGGCCGCTTCAGTTTTTAGAATAAAATTATGTAATTATATTAAGACCATCTTTAGTATTTGTTGGCTATTCATTCAACTACTGACTGCCCTCCCGTATTTATCGGGTCTTGGAATGCAGTCGCATGTGAACAGAAGAATCCAATTTGTTACGGTAAAAGTCATTTCTTGACTTGGACTTCTGTTTTTCTCCTCCAGCGAACTTATTTTCCTTAATTTAAAAAATTACTTTCATTTTTTAGTAAATAACAAAATATATATATATGTCATTCTACTCGGCTGTTCAACAAATTAAATTAAATTAATTAAATCTAATAAATTGAATTATACCGTTATTTGATTTGATTTTATACAAATTATAATTTAATTTGATTTGGTTTAAACCAGATTTCTCTTTTACAATTTAGTTTATGATTTGATTATCAAATCGAATTATATAAATTAAATTAAATCGTAAACTATGTTTGAATTTGTAATTTAATTATTTAATTTTTTTCTCCTTTTGTTTTACTCTCTCCACCTTCTTTTTTTTGGTCATTTCAATCCCAATTTCATTTTTTTCTTTTTTATTCTTCTTTTATTTTTTTAATAGTCCTCAAAACTTCTAATTTTTCAAATAACTCTTTAATTTGAGGTATTATACACCACGTTAATATTTAATTTATTGAACTTAATGAATTTTTTTAACTATTATTCCTTTTAATTATTAAATTTAATTAATTTTATTATAAATACGAAGGATTAAAAGTTTAATAAAAAATTTGGTAAATTTAATTTTTATAAACTGTAATTTTAAACTAAATTAAATTATAAATTATAATTTTATTTAATTTTTATTTTAAAAATTTATAATTTAATTTAATTTTAAAAATTATAAACCATGACTCGTAATTTAATTTAAAATTAAGTTTGGAATAGAAGTACGGCACATTTTGAAGGAACAAGAAGCGTCCATGTTGCACGGGTCCAACAATTCAGTGGGCTGGGCTGGGCTGGGTCCGGTCAGTATTCTCTGAGTGGGCCGAAGCTAGTAGGCTGGGCTGTCAATTCAATGGGCGAGAGGAGGCAAGTCGCAGCGGCTTTCGGGTCGCAGCTCCGGGTTGAAGACAATCGGAGAGAGAGAAGCCTCCAGGACACTCAGTTGAGGATCGCAAGGTCGCCGGTGGAGCTAGGCGGAGTCGGCGATGGCGATAGAGGCGGAGATGACGCTAGCGATGGAGTGAATGGAGAAAGAAGCGATCGGGTCAGGAGCTTCTGATGCCGGTTCAACGAGGAAGCCGACGGTGCTCGTACTCCTCATAAGCAACGGAATCGGCCAGGTGAAGAAGATAAAAACCCCAAGAGGAGAAGCCGAAGACGATTGGGCTTCTAGTAAGGGATAGGGTTAAACTTCCAAGTTCCAGATAAACACGGGTAAAAGATTCTCACGAATCAGTGCAGCCGACGAGCAGAGAAGATTAGGTTGGGTTAGGGTTGAGCTGTGAGGGTTCAAACCTGTGGGATGGGGGTTGTCATCCGAGCCTAGAAGATAAGGATTGAGAAATCCTTAGGCAGGTAGGAGAGCTCTGCCTGTCTTCTATTAATCTGTATTCCTCCTCTCTTACAGAACGACCGACAGAGGAGAGAAACAGTTCTGCAGACAGGTTTCTTGTATTATTGAGTGAGCGAAATACAAGGTTGGGGAGCTGAGAGGGTTTTTGGTAATCTTCCGTGTGCACTTCTTCTTCTTCTTTGTGACTCATTTTGCTTTCTTCTTCTGTGCGTGTGCGTGTTTTGGTTCTTCCTTGGTTGAGTGTTCCGGCTAATTGGTACAGAGGATCTTCCGGTTCGTTTTTGTTCCGGCGGTTTACATATAGGGAGATTTTGTGCCGGCGGGCTGTTTTATCGGGAGTAGCGTCGGCCACAAAACGCACTTGACAGGCAGCGGGGAGAAAGTGAAAAGGTCAAAGGACGGATTGACTAGTCTTGGTTGAGAGGGTAAGCAGCTCACGGAGATTAAAACTCGGCGGAACCCCGTGGCATCAGGTATGCCACGCCATTGGCTTCCAATCCACCGCCCGCTTGCCGTAACCGAACCAGCCCCCTCTACGAGACCAAGGTAAGTCCAGCCTGTAGGAGTACTCCTCAGCACTTGGAACCCCGTGGCATCAGTATGCCACACCATTGGCTTCCAACCCACCGCCCGCTCGCCGTAACCGAACCAGCCCTTTGTACGAGACCAAGGTAAGTCCAGCCTGTAGGAGTACTCCTCAGCACTTGGGTCATCAATGGAGTTCCAAGATGTCAGGAACCGCTCCAAACCGACCCTCCGGTCCGACCCAAGCTTCATCTTGGGCAACATTGTATTTGAAAGATAATCAAAATTTTCCAATACAACAAGATTTGTATTGTTACCTCTTAATAACACCAAATTTTCCGTGTCCAATAGCTGCACCGAGCAATTGCTATTTTTAAGTTTTTATCACCAAGACATGCATCTGCCAAAAAATTTGAATGTGAATTTAATAATAATTTTATATATAACATTAATAAATTTAAATTTAAAGAGATTAAAAATTTAAAATTTCAAAAAAAAATATAATTGATGGAATATAGTTAAGAGATTTGAGTGTAAAATATTATTATTTTCTTATTGTATCATATTTTAGATTATTCTTCAAATTTAAATATAGTTTAATAGATATAAATATAGATATAGAAATAAGTGATCAAATTTAGATTCAAATTCAACAAATGTGATCAAAATATAACCTCTTTACAGCCCTATATGAAAACTTGCCTCATCTAACCTCTAGCTTTAATATTGTTGTTTCATTGATGCTAGATTGTTTTTAGCGTATTGATCATGACCATTCTCATTATTTTGTCTCTCCATGCAAAAAGCTAGGTTACTTGGATTGATATAATTTTGCAGTATAGTGATCAACATTAAAAGTACAGAAAACACATTGGGTCTATATTGTGGACTTTTGCACACTCAAGAGACCAATTATACGCATATTGGTACCTCCAGCATTGGTGTTGAACTCTCCAGTGGATGCAGTAGTTCCAAGGAAAAATTTAGAAGATGATATTATGAATAGCATTATTCATTTCGTGGACTCAGACTTTCTTCCATTTTTTTTTTTTTTTTCGCTCTTCTGGTGAAGTTATTTTCCTTAATTTTTAAAAATGTTTTTATTCTTTTAGTAAATAACAAAATATAAATGTTAATCTGCCATTTAATTATTTAAAGGAATGAGATGAGGTCCATGGTGCATGTCCGCTATCTGCTCTTCTTAAAGGGTGTTTTTTTTTTTTTTTTTGCCCCTTTTTGGAACTTACTCCTTGAGTGGTCAACATATAAGATAAATGCGCATCTCTTAATTCACCACTAAGCAATATTGTTATTAATATTATTATATAATATTTTACTTATCATTTTCTTTTCCTTCAAGTAACACACGTGAATTATATTTGGACAAAAATCATAATAACCTTATCTTTTAATTAATTTGTACAAAACTTTTTCCAATCCAAATATATTGGGTTTCATTATTCTCAGCACTAAAATCCCCAGTGCACTAGAATCTTTTTATGGGAAAATTTACTTTTTGGGAACAAATCACAATACCGCATGTGTCTTAGTAAGCTTACACAAAAACTCTCTTCTAATATAAGAATTAAAATAAAATATATTGTGTTTCAATATTCTCACACTTGTTTTAGATGAAAATAGTTGTAAATTTTACTTTTCTATAATTTAGTTATATGTTAAAAATAATCTTTTGATTGACAATATTTTCCTTTGTTATATAATTTATTCCTTTTTCAATAAATACAATTATCTAATATCAAGAGTTTAACGTCTCTAATTTATCATTTTTATCCTTTTTTTCTTGTTTTTTGTTAAGTGAATATTATTTTTTTTAAAAAAATTACTCATTAATATTTTTTCATAATACTTATTTGTTTTGCCAAAATAACCATAATCAAACTAAAAATTTTATAATATTTTTAAAAAAATTTAAAAAATATTAAAGATTTAACAAAACTTAATGAATTTACTTAATTTGATCCCCAAAATCTTTCTTATTTTTATAAATTAATCTCTATCTTTATATTTTTTAATTAAATCCTTAATCTAGTTATTACAATTTAACACCGTTAGTAGTGGAAAAAAATATGACAACTATTTAGAAAATTTTAAAATACAAGAAAATTTAATATAATTTTTATACCATATGGAATTTTTGTATACCTAAAAGACAATAAAAGATAGTTTTATGCTTTTAAATCCCGTTAGTGGACAGACATTGTAATACCTCAAAATTTGGGGTTAATTAAGAATTTAGAAACTTAAAGGAGCTCAAACGGACGAAATAGGAAGGTTTAGAAGGCTAATTATATTATTAGGACACTTAATTGAATATATTGGAATTATTAAGGATAAGAACAAAAATTGATCAGAGTGGCGAGGATCAAATTAAACAGAGTCAGGGAATCAGGGAGCAAATTGCAAAACTCTCAAATTTTGATCCTGTTCTTGGTCCTCAATGTTTCCAAAAATCCTAATTACCAAATTGATTCAATTTGAGAGATTTACGTGATT